TTATATGCCTAAAATAAATTTGACTTACCAGTCATGTGGTTTGAGGCTCTAGAGTCAATTATCCAAGGGGAATTAGATGTATGAGATGACACATGGAAAGCAGTGGCAGTGTTACCTAATGTAGACGCAAAGGAGGTAGAAGGAGTAGGACCAGAATCCATCTGGTGAAGAGTCCTACCATATAACTCTAAATGGTCACGAAAGGAGTTGATAAACTCTTCCTTAGGGTCAGAACTAGGGTGCCTTTCCTGAGTTACCATGTGACTAGTCTCTTGAGATACCATATTAGTTGAGTTATACTTTTTTTGATTCTGTTGGATTGGTTTCTTACCCTGATCGGTTGTTGACTTCTTACCCAATTCCTGTGCCCAATTAAGTTTCCCATGGAGGTCCCAACATGTATCTCTGGTGTGTCTTGTCTACTGGCAATGAGTGCACCAAAGTTTACTCTTGTCATCTGCTCTCTTTTGAGAATCACCCTTCTTAAAGGAGCCTCCGACATTAGAATATGTACTTCCTCGAATAGCTCGGGCAACCGGCTCCTCCTCTACACAATTCATCACACTTCTTCTACTCTCTTTTGACTAGACTAAGGCATAAACATCCTGAACTGATGGCAAGTCTTTACTTCCCAAGATCTGTACTCTGATGGACTCATATGAAGGGTTCAACCCCAAGAGAAAAGCAAATACCCGTTGCTGAGAGACAAGTGACTTATATGCCTTTGCATCTTCATCACATTTCTAATTCACATTTTGATAGTGATCCAGTTCTTTCCAGATTGATGTCAGATCTGAGTAGTACACTAAGAGACTCCTCTCCCCCTGCTTGCAAGTAAAGGATTCAGCTTGCAGTTGGTATATCTTGGCGTAGTGCCTTTGCTCTAAATAAGTAGATTTTGCTTGTTCCCATATTTCACAAGCTGTTTCAGCCCACATGAATGTCTTTCTTACTTGTGGCAACATGGAAACCAAGAGCCATGACATAACCATACTATTTTCTTGGTTCCACCTACATATTCAGCACTTCCGTTCTTCGGTTCCTTCACTTTCCCATTGATGTATCCTATTTTCCCTTAGCAGTGATGTAGTGTTTTATTCCCCTAGACCATTCAAGGTAGTTTAGTCCATCGAAGGGAATTACAGCAATGGGAAAACTTATATCCACTCCCCCACTCACTCCATTTTGACTTCCTGAAACCCCTGAAGTAGCAGAATTCTCAGAGGACATGGTCAAAACAGAATTTCAATCTCAACACTCAACTTAGGATCCCCCCTTACACCAAAAAAAAATATTTGCTCAAAAAAGTAATCAGTCCACACACACACACACACACACTTCGGTTTGGACTCAATCTGAGTACAAAACAGCACTAGTTTCTAGAAAAAAAGGCAAGATCAGACTGATTTCAGACCTGTATGGGTTAACAGTCCCAGCCTACCAACCTTCCAAAATGTCTAAGAAGATTAATCATCAGGAGAGATCCTTAAACACTTGTAATCAAGCCAAAAACTGGAGATAACAGGTCATCTGTGACCTACAGTCACCTTTCCACAGGTACAGGATCACACGATCCAAGAAAAAAGAGGTATAAACCTCACAAAGGTCTGACTACATTCAGCAGTCCAGATTCATTCGATTTTTTTCTTGGTACGCGACCAAGAAAGGTAAAAGAGAAAAAAAAAAGGACTGTACTAGTCGTAGATCAGTTTTCAGCCTAGATTCAGTTCTCTGTTCCACCCAGATTCAGCAAGTCGAAGAGGAAAGAAAACTTGTTCGATCTGCTTTCACAGTCAATAATCCCGCTTTGATACCATCTTGACAGAAGGCCAACTAGAAATAAGAGAGAAAGGGAAGAGAAGAAGACAAGAGAAGGTAGAAGAGAAGAGGAGAGATTGGCGACAATGGAATAGTGCTGGCAGCACCGGCTTCTATTAATATTTATAGGGCATCTAAAATAAAAGGGAAAAAGACCCTTGTGCCCCTGTTGTAAGTAAAGTACAATAACAGAAAATAAAAAAGGCTTTAAATCAACCAAACAGACCCTAACAAGATAGAAAATAATAGACAAGAAATAAAATAAACTATTTCAACAAGGGACTTTGGCATGAAACAGTGCCAGGTAGACCATTCTATCAGCTATGAATCAGATACTGGGAAGATTTTGTTTGTGGTGTATGTGGATGACATTGTCATAACTGGTAGTGATATCAATGGGAATGATAGGTTGAAGAACTTTCTACGTGATCACTTCCAAACAAAAGATTTGGGTAAACTGAAATATTTTTTGGGAATAGAAGTTGCAAGGTCAAGACATGGTATTAACTTGTGCCAAAGAAAGTATGTCATTGATTTACTTGAAGAAACAAGGTTGTTAGGTGCCAAACCAGCTTTCAACCCATGGAACCAAATGTCAAGTGGAGTGTTGATGCAGGTGAAGAGTTTGATGTTCCTAGAAGGTACAGGAGGTTGGTGGGTAAATTGAACTACCTGACTATTACTTGGCCAGATATATCATTTGCATTAAGTATGGTGAATTAGTTTATGCAACATCACCGAGTTCCACATTGGGAGGTAGTTCTAAGAATTGTTAAGTACTTGAAGGGAGCTCCAGGTCATGGACTGTTATACAAGAGTGGAGGAACTCTTGAGATAGAGGGGTACACAGATGCTGATTGGGCCGGGTCTGCGTCTAATCGAAGATCTACTACAGGGTATTGTACCTTCCTTGGTGGCAATTTGGTAACTTGGAAGAGCAAGAAACAAATAGTGGTGGCAAGAAATAGTGCTGAAGCTGAATACAGGGCCATGACTCATACTACATGTGAACTAGTGTGACTGAAAAATCTTTTGCAGGAGATGGGGTTCTCAGTTGACAAACTTATGAAGTTGTATTGTGATATCCAAGCTGTAGTCCACATTTCTTCTAATCCAGTCTTTCACAAGAGAATAAAGCATACTGAAGTTGACTGCCACTTTGTAAGAGAAAAGGTGATCAATGGAGTGATAACTACAGCTCATGTGAGTTCAAGAAACCGGTGGGCAGATTTGTTTACAAAAGAGTTGAGTCGGGGAAGAGTGGATTACATATGTAACAAGCTAGGACTATATGATATATACTCTCCAGCTTGAGGGGGAGTGTTAGAATCGACAATACAAGGGTAGCTTAGTCATTTGTCTATTTAATTAAGGATGAGTTGTCTATTTTGTCTGGGTTTAAGTTGTGTGTCCCATATGAGGGACAGATTTGTCTTTTGTAGTGTAATGCAAAGTGTATAAATATAAGGTGGGTTAGCTGAGAGGAGATTGACTTTTCCTCTTCTCAAACTGAACCTTTCCTTTTTCTCCTCTCTTCTTTCTCTTCTTCTTCTTCTTCTTCTTCTTCTTACTTATTTACTTCTTACTTATCTCAGACCTAGGACTGAACTAGTGTTAATCGAATCATTCACATGTACCTTTACTCTTTGTAACATAAGGGCAGAATTGTCCTTTTATTTCATTTAAAAAAATACTTTTTCTTGGTGTGTTGAACGCATCAAACACACCACAAATCTATTCATTTTCCTCTTGTTCGAATTGCACTCACAGCTTTAGGCACATCTTAAATGAGATTTGGAAGATCTAAGCAATCTTTGACTGCTCGGAGTCATTTCTAGGGAAATGCTTGCTTAATTTCTAATCAATTTTGTGTTTTATTGTTAATGAGAAATTTTAGAGGATGAGAAGAAGAAAAGAAGAGAATTTGGAAGAATACCAAAAAGTACAAGGGGCATGCCCCTTTTCCATATATAATGACCAATTTACCCCTAACTGACATATAGCATTATAGCAAAGAACAAATCAACATAAAAATAATAAAATAACTTTTTTATAAGTAAAAGAAGATTCATTTTATTTTTATTTTTTAATTTTATTTTAAATAATAAAAATAAAGTATTATTGGACCACTACTTCTACTTAAAATGCTGCTCATAAAGAAACTAACATATATCTGACTCATTGTAGCAGAGACCTGGGATCCAATCCTACTGCCACCAGGGTTAGGGGGTTAAGGGATGGAGGATGGGAGATGGGCTACCCCCTGTTGTGTAGCCCCATCAAGTGAAAAAAGTAAATAAATAAATAAAAAGTAATATTGTTTGTTTAGATATCGAAAGAAAAAAAAAAAAAACTAACATATCCTTCAACACAAATGAATCCTATAATAGATGGCCTGCATATTTGAGAATGGAGATTATTTTTTTCTTTTTTGTAAAGAAAATGCTTGATTCCTTGATTTTTATTTAGGTAATAGGGGAACTGTTTTTTCCATACCCTGTGCACCAATGTACATCCTCTCATGTACTCCTATCTGTGTGTGTGTGTGTGTGTGTGTGTTTTCTTGATCTGATATTCAATTTAGCAAAGCTCAGGTGTGGTCATAATGGACAATTTTCTTTTTCACTTTCAGCCCTGCTAAGACTATAATCTTTTCTGCCTTATTTTCCAGAATTTTATCTTTTAGCCATTAATGGTTTATCTAATCTCAGACTGATAAGTGTGAGAACGTTAGGTCCATATCCAGTCCACCCCACCCAAGGCCCTGGATAGCTGGGACCAACACTGAGTGATGACCCTCTATTAAGGGTTATTACTTTGACTAATATACTGGTTTAGACCGACTAAAAAGGTCTGGCAAGAGTCATGTTTTCGTTGATGTTATGTCAAATTTGATTTTTGGAATACTCAATGTTCAAGCTTCTGTGTCAATGTTTTCCTCTAGTAGTCAAGATTGCATCAAAGTGGTAAAGCTTTTACATCCAATTTTTATGTCATTTTGTTTTCAAATGGTATGCAGGTTTAATCATCATGTTCATTAGTATGGTGTTTAGCTGTTGTTGTTGCTAATCATTTTGTTGGATGAGGAAATTCTTACGGTAGCAAATCATGTCTGACCCTTATTTTCTTTCAATTCTCTCTCTTGCCTTATTTTATTTCTTCTCCCTCCCACACTGGCACAGATTAGCTTAGTGGGCCAGCTTCATCTTCTTTCTTCGACTATCACAACTCTAGCTGTACCATCTCCTTCTTTAACAGCTACTTTGGCTCGTAAGTCCAGTATATGCAACTTCTGTATTCTATTCATTTTATATTTATGACAGATTTCTACTTCAATTTCAAGATCAATATCGATATTCCATCAATTTATAAAATTTACTGATTTTGTGAAGGTGGGGGTAACTATCCTGCCGTAGCAGTTCCACTGATTGCTTTAGGAACTCAAAGTGGGATGATAGATGTCATTGATGTTTCTGCCAATGCTGTAGCATCAAGCTTTTCTGCTCATAGTACTATTGTTAGAGGATTACGATGGCTTGGGAATTCTCGGCTTGTTTCATTCTCATATGTTCAGGTATGCACTTTTAAACTGAAGATCTTGTCAAACAATTGCTTATTTGTTCTTTTGTTTTAAATTTGATTACCATGGCCTATGTGTTTTTCTAAACTACTCCAGGCCAATACTTGCCTAATTGGAACCTCTATCATGTAGATCAGAGTCTCTAGGCAGATTTGTTTTAGGAAAGTGACTATATATTATGAACAAAAAGATGTACCTGAGGGAATCTACATATCAAAAGAGCATCCCCAGTTTTTTTTTTTTTTTGACAAGTAAAAAGAAATTTTCATTAAAATAAAAGAGTACAATCTGGATAAGTGATAAGGTAGAACCTAACATCGAAAACTAAAAGTACAAAACAGTACAATTTTAATTTCCCAATTCACAATTCTGGAACCCCACCACCTCCCACAATCTTTCTTCTAAATCTTCTCTCTTAAGCTGAGAGAACTCTGGCAATATCAACACCCAATCTGCAACTGATTTGCACACAGTTGCCACCAATCTATCCAGCCACTATTCCTTGTCTTCAAAAATTCCTCTAGAGAAAAGTTTTCAGCAGGTAACCTTGGCTGGAAATTGCTAACCCCGAAGAGTATCGTGAAGAGTTTCCACAAGAACCCAGAAGTTTTGCATGCAAAGAAGAGATGGCTTACTGATTCTTCCTTTTTACACAAAAAACACATGCTGACCAAACTGAATCATCTTGACTTCAAATGATCCACTGTCAGCACACTGTCCATAGCCACCATCCAAGCAAAAGCTTCCACCCTAGGGGGTATTGGGTTAACCCCAGACCCCACCCAATTTGTCAAAGTCCATTTGGTTCCTGCACAGGGCTGAATAGCATGACTTGACTATAAACTTTCCATTTGAGCATTCTTTCTAGCATAGCTCATTCCTAGACTGGGCTGAGATCTTCACACTCTCCAACTTCTCCAGCAGACTTAAATACTCCCCAATTTCCCTTTCAAGGAGTGCCCTTCTGAATCTTGGGCACCAAACTATCAGCTCCCCAATTCTTTCATAACAACTGAAAATAGTCACTTCCAGTTCCAACAACCTGAATAATCTTGGGCAAACCTCACACAATCTTACCACTCCACTCCACTCGTCCTCCCAAAATCTTATTCTAGCTCCACCCTCAATTGCAAAGCTTGTTAGAGATCTGAACTCCTGGTTACAATACATTATTTCTTTTCATACACACAGCCCATATGAAGAGCTAACCTTCCTTGATTCCCATCCAAATCTCGTAACCCCATATTTACTAACCATCACCCTCCTCCATAACGAGTTTTCCTCCTTAACCCAAATATCCATAACCATTTCCCAAGGCCAAGTAAGGCTTTGTTGAATAATTTCACCCTCCTAAACCCCAAACCCTCTCCCTCCTTGGGTCTACACACCTTATCCCATTTAACCAGATGGAGCTTTTTACCCCTCCCTCCCCCCACCCCTTCTCATTAGAAGTCCCTCTAGATCTTCTCCATTCTTTGCAATTTTTGGTGGCACCAGAAGTAAATCTGACTTCTAAACCTGATAAGAAACTTGATAAAAGAAGTAAAAAGTGATGAAGGAAGAAGAAAACATCAGAATAGAAGAAGGGGGATAGAGAAGAAGAAGAGGAAGAAGAAGAGGGTTCGATAATCTCCTCTCTCCCCTCACTAATCCTTTTATTAATCTTCACTAATGTGGTTAATTACAAATCAGCCCTTAAGTGGGGCGCCCATATAAGCATAAACTTAAAATAACTTAAAAGAAGTTAACAGGCCCATTAGCATACAAAATAAAAGTTGAAAACAGCCCTCTTGAAGTATAGAACTGCTTGAGATTAGATGCA